AATTTTGATTTAAAAACCTTGTTTCTCTTTGTCGCAACAAGGGTAGTAAATAACATTGATAATTTTAGCGCGTTTTTTTATTTACACATTAATTTGGAAAATCTTGCAAAAATAAAAATAATTGTCAGATGTTAATGAAACTTTCAGAAACTATTCACAGATGATCGAAATTATAAATATGTTTTTTTTTTTTTTAAAGTCATGGCAGAAATATTTTTTTATATATTTGTTAACAACCCCATAACTAATTTTATGAAAAATTCTAGAAATTCGAGACCATTGGTTTTAGTGATTACAATAGTTAAAAGCACAAGGCTTTGAAGAATGCAAATTTTTTTTTTTTTGGCCAACGTACCAGAAAATCAGCTATGAATTGTAACATACAAACCTCAATAAAACATATATTATTTAGTTTCAAATGTTTTAATTTGTTTTTATGAATATGGACAATATTTTCTGAAAGCAAAAAATTTTTTCAATGAAAATTGAATTTTTAATACAATTATTTCTTATTTTTTAATACTAAAAAGATTTTTCAAACATTTTTAAATTGAATTTTAAAAAATATTTTAACATTAGTTAAAAGCAACATCAACCTTTCAAAATGTCCGTGTGAGATTGTCTAGCGCTTTGAAAATTGTATAATTTGGACCAGTCAGATTAGAGTCGGAAAGTAATTATAAAGTACGGAAGACCAACCAGAATACAATTTAGTTGCATTATTTGAGTTCAGCATTGTTCTCCGCTGTTAAGCCCTTTACTTTTGCGAAACACGTGTGGAGAAGTTAATTTGAGTTTTCAATTTCAACTGAGAAGGGTACCTACAAGTAACAGTATCATCTTATGAAATTTAACTACTGCTAAACTTTAATTTATATGATCTTATTTTTATATTAATCTCAGTTATGACATTTTCCATAAATGAAATATCAAAATTAATAATAAAATGAATGGAAATACAAATAACACAGTAAAATGTAATAAATGTACATAAAATTATAGTATAATTACACTTCTGATAAAATATAAGAAAGGTACCTAAATTAGATACCTTTTTCTTATGAAATTTAATCTCACTATTAACAGTCTTATTTTTTAATTTCTTTATATTTTCCGTAAAGCATCGTAAACGTAAAAATGAAAGCTAAGTACAAAAAAAAAAAAAAATAAAAAATATAATAAAAAAAAAAATTAGAGCGCTGAAAGTTTTCCTTAAAGGTAACGTGGTAAATAATTTGTTCACTTAAATAATTTCACTTCCTTCCATCCGTAGAAAGAATTATCCTCCCGTAAGTTATCTAAACGTCATAAATGTGCCTTTCGTCAATCGTCAAGCGACGCGAAAGGTTATGACCTGCTTTGTTTTATTTTCAAATTACATTTTTTCGGCGCAGAAGCTAAGTTAAGCTTGGTTCAAAATATTTTAAATAAACAGTATAATTTCTGTTTATTAAAATCAGTTTTGAAAAAAATGATTGAAATGATTGATTATCTGTCATTTTTTTGACAAAAAAAAAAAAAAAAAAATGTTTAACGAAAATTTTAGACGTGCTAGGAAAGATTAAAAAATATAAAAAGAATACCCCCCCAAAAAATTGATCTTTCCTCTTTAATAATAATATGAACATTAGACGGTAAAATTTTATTTTCGTCATGTTCGGGTTTTTTTTCATGATGCTATGCTCTTTTGTATACATTTTCGTGGGTGAGTTGTCCCCCTTTCATTCTCACGATGTGTCTTAATCGCGTTTTCAAATTGATGGTTAAAAAACAATTGTTTTTCCCCCATTTTCGGCGCCATTAGAACCATCACAAGGTAATTTTATGTAGTCCTGTGATGTTTTGTTGAAATCGGCTAAAAAAATGTAGGATATTCGATCCAATATATAAACGTTACAGACACACAATCTGCGTTTTATAATAATATATATATATATATATATATATATATATATATATATATATACACATACACACACACAATTTCGGATTCATACAGAATAATTATATAAGTAACTTACAATACCATTATTTATCATTCATTATATTACTTATATTGCAAGGTAAACTGTCAACTATGTCTACAGTCAACCGTAAGTTCATTTCTTTGGTTTAAGATTAATCCTGTCTTTAAATCTAATAATTTTCGATTTTTCGTTTAGACAAAAATAACCTGGTGCGTATAGAGATTTACAAGTTCGAGCCTTCCTGGCTAGTTTCCTTTTACTTGTTAAGAGTTTTGTTTTTCTTTTTTAAATTCCCACATTACTTAGACGACGAAGTACTATTTCTATAATTAATATTTTTGAGGGATAATATATGTTGAGACCGTCTGGTTTTAAGAGTTTTTAGTGCTTCCTATGTAATATTTTTAATACTCTAGAAATGTTACTAAAATAAACAAGGGAACTAGCTAAGCAATTATTTTGTAGGGAGCAATCATTTAAATTCTTCTGCTGCTATTAGTATTATAATTATCGTTTTCTGCACCATTGCTATACAACTTGCTTTTCAAGTTTCTATATTTGTTGAAGACATTGTGTTTTTTAATGATTTTCTGAAGGTTGTTCGCGCAACAATAGCATAATTTAAGTATTTTGTTTATTATTTTGCTAAGCGAATTTATATTGGGAAAATGTTTATTAATAAGGTTAAAAATTTGGGCTCTAGTTTAGTTTTAACCATTGGGTTAATAAGGTGCGTAAACCAAATGATTCTCCCTGTACTTAGAAATAGTGGTTATAAACGTACTAAGTGTAGACTTGTAAAATTCACTATGCTTATCAAGGACCTCTTTGCTACAAGAGTTTGTGCTGATGTGTTTAATAACTGACGTAGGATGGTTAGAATGTGTGTGTATATATATATATATATATATATATATATATATATATAAAAGCACGACTTAACCTTCATAAAAATTTATTGTTTATAAACAAATCATCGATCTTTCCCGAGCGTTCACATCCGCTCACGAAATGTTCCTTATTTGGACTTTGCTAACTAGACGCTTCTCTGTAACTGAGTGGTAGAGCACGTCAGATCAACTGACGGTTCCGTATAGGACACCGATTCCATTCCTGTTATAGTATTTTATATTTTCTACGAAAGTTCTTTAACATTCATGTAGGTAAATGTCATTAATACTGTTTATTTAGGAAAAAAAAAAGACAACTGGGCTTTTACTTAAATAGTATCTATTAAAATAAACAAAATATATATTATTTAACTATTGGATTTAATATATTTATATATATATATATATATATATATATATATATATATATATATATATATACTAGCGTCCAAAACTAAGGGACAAAATTTTAAAACCCAATATTTGTTAGAAATAACTGTGAAAAGCTGAAATTTTGCCAACTGGTAGTCGTTATCATCCATAATAACATACTAAAATTTGAATCATTTGCAAGGGATAGAAGAAGAATTTTAACAATTATTTATTTTCAAATTTGGAACGTCCAAAAGTAAGGGACAAAATTGAGAAAAACAATGTAAACGGCAAAAAAAAAAAAAAAAAAAAAAAAAAGAAAAAATGTACAATCAATATTTAGTAAATGAGCCCTTGCTCTCAATGACAGCTGCACATCTTCGACTACAAGAACGAATCAGTTCTTGACAATCCTCGATACTAATTTTAGACCATTCTTCTTGAAGATTCACCCACAAATCCTCCGTGTTAGTGGGATTTCTTTCCATAACGTTCACTCCTAAGGTCTTCCAAAGATTTTCTATTGGATTTAAGTCAGGACTTTGTGATGGCCAATCCATAATTTCCAAATCTTGCATAAAGGTAGCCCTATCGAAACCTGAATTCTGTATGATTGGCACAACATGATCTTGAACAATGTTTTTATAGATCTGCGCGTTTACACGAGTTTGTAACCGGACAAGAGGCGTTGTACCTTGGCTAGAAAACAAGCCAAATACCATGACGCTTCCGCCCCAAAACTTGACAGTTTTCTTAGTACACTTTGCGCTTAATCTTTCACCAATACGTCTTTTTACATCGTTTTTTTCCATCATTTCCAAATAAATTAAACTTGCTTTCATCACTGAAAAATACTTTTGCCCAATTTTCATATGTCCAAATTACATACCTGTTTGCAAACTAATCTCTTATTCTTCGAACTAACAAGTGGTTTCTTCCCTGGGGTTCGAAGAAACAGCCCTATTTCTTGCAGTCGTCTACAAACAACCCTTTTAATTTCTGTGCAAGACTTAAAACGGTCCTTTAATGACATACGCTGCATTATTCGATCTTCTCTTGCCGAAGTTTTGCGGGGTCTGCCGGTTTTAAAAGCACCAACTATTTGCCAGTATCATTGTAGGATTTAACAACCCTGCGTACAACACTCTTGGAACGTTTCACTTTCTCTGAAATCTCTCTAATGGTGTGCTTTTCCCTGTGTAGCTTCACAATAGCTTGTCTCACAGAGTAATCAAGTTTTTGGCGTTTCGCCATGGTGCCGGCTGATGCAACGTTTACAAATGACTAAGTAAGACTTATTCTTTAGAGGAAAGCAAAAAATTTGAATATAGCATACTGTTTACATTGTTTTTCCCTTACTTTTGGACGATCCTATTTTGAAAATAAATAAATAATTGTTATAATTCTTTTTCTATCCTTTGCAAAAGATTCAAATTTTACTATGTTATTATGGACTACCAGTTGTCAAAATTTCAGCTTTTCACAGTTGTTATTTCTAACAAATATTAGGTTTTAAAATTTTGTCCCTTAGTTTTGGACGCTATATATATATATATATATATATATATATATATATACATATACATATACGTGTGTGTGTGCGCCCCCGCGCTGTATTGAAGGATTTAGATTCACAGGCATTTAAAAAAAAAAAAAAAGATCCCACTTTAATAACTCAATATCAACAAAAACGAATACTTCAAAGGATAAGTGTTTTCTCATTTTACACAAATTCAAGAAGTGTCTATGTAGTATTGCCTCAAATACTTACCTAGGATTGTTCCTGTTGGACTGAGAGCCAAGTGCAGTGGTTGGCCATCGTGTTGACATAAAGCTCCTACTAAGTCAAGATTATCCAGACTTTCGTCTTTCCAAATAGCTATCTGATTTTTCATATTAGGACCAGCTAATCCCGTCACTAATTCTTTATATTCGGGTGACCAAATCATACTGCATACCTAAAACATAAAATGAATTCAGTAATTCTACAAAACAAATTACACGAGCGGTATTGTTACTAAATGTAAACATAACTTTATTAGGAATGCAATGCTAACTCACAGCAAAAGAAATAAATCAAAGAATAAATATGACAGCCTTGAACAATTAAGGAAAATGGTTAGTAAAAATAATTAAGATTAATAGTGGAGGTAAATTCCTATTAACAGCTGTCCATGATTAACAAAAAATTGAGGCAAGGATAAAAGTGGGTGTTGTAACTTAATTTTGGTGTGCCGGTTTCAAATCCTATATCCATTTTCATTCGTCATCTGATTTGAGATACAGGTATACATATAGAACGAAACCCCCAAAGATATAAAGTTTTCAAAAATACGAGGGTCGACTGAAAAATTCATAGGGTGACCAAGATACTCTCATAGAATATGACCAAATGAGGTTTATTTCTCTTCGCGGTCTACATAATCCGTGTTACAGTTCTTGGATTCCATTCGTCAAATAGCGTGTTAGTCAAAAGTCATATGACGTCATCACTGCGATACTGGTTCACACTAGTGTTTTTTCATGTTGGAAATAGATAATAGATGGGTGAAATCAGAAGAATAGAGAGGATGATCAACAATGCCACAGTCACGCACATCAGCCAATTTAAATCAAGGACTTGTATGCTGGAGCATTGTCCTGATGAAATAAGACGACTTTCAGTTTCCTGTGCGTTTGGTTTCGATAGCTTTTGCTTTTTTTTCCTTAGCAAGTTAGCATAGTACTCTCCATTGATGGTGTTAGACGTTCTGAAGATTGCCTTTTGCATACCAAAGCCTTCACCTTCTCTGCAAATGAAACGACCTTAGCCTTCTTTGGAACAGGAAAGTAGGGGTGTTTCCACTGCACGGATTATCTGTGACTGGCTCAGAGATGAACCAAAAGCTCATCCTGGTTTAGGAAACGTTCAAAGAAACCAGATAGATTTGCTCCAAACAAGGTCAAACTCTTAGGGACATGTTAATGTCATTGGCTATTTCATTTATAATCCATCACCATCTATGTTGCACACAAGTTTATATTATATTCAATACAGAGGATGCATCAACAAGGTTGATTCATTCTTTAACATGGTTATTTCACGACAATTGCTCCTGAGAACTGCTACTTTGAATACAAAATTGGAGATCAGGCGCCTTACGGCCGCATCACGTTGAAACACTGGTTCCTAAACGATTCACCGAAATTAACCAACGTCGAACCTAGTCAGTACCTAGATCGGTGACCACTTGAGAATACCAGGTGCTGTAAGTTTGAATGTATGGGTAGTGTAATGGATAATGGCTCGGAATTGTTAATCGGAGAGCGGAGTTCTAATTCCCGCTGTGTTGGTTACAGTCACTAACGCGCAATACACAAGGTATGAATCTACTTCAGTTCACAATTATGCGTGAATTAAAGAAACATTTATCAGTAAACAATTATCCCCAGAAACAAAATTCTTACAATCTAAATATTTTCTGGCTTTAAGTAACCTGCGAATGTGGTGATAAGCCATAAAAAATTCAGAGTCCCGTTACAGACTAAATGCATGGTGTAATTTCAAGAAATTAGCTTTTCAACTTTGCTGTCTCAATGTCCAAAGCTATGCAGATGATTATTTTTGTTTAAATGTAACTAGTTAATATCTCTTCCAGAAAAAAAAATCAACTATCCCAACTTTTCCTCAGCTATGAAAGCTGTTCCTTCAGATTGTCTCCTCATCCTTAACCCCCCCCCCCCAGCAAATAAGGATCTTCCTTCATCCGATGAGGAAATCACCTCAGGAGGAGGATCAAAGTCGGACTCTTCTGATGACAATATATGTTTATTTAGGTGCGAGTGGCAGTGAGTCGCATTGGATCACCCAAGAAGACTCGAATGATTGTTCGCGATTTTATATACTTTTACAATAATGAAATTATACAAATTACAATATAGACCTTATGTGCCTCGAACTATCAAGGCACTATCAGTTGTTTGAAAAATACAAATCAGTCTTCTTAGAAAAGAGTTTATGTAATGCAAAGGTTTCTTTAAAGGAATTAACAACTTTCTTTTAGTGGTTGCTCTATAAAAAGGGTTGTTTATATAAATCAATTTCTTAGCAACAAAAGAAATTTACTTCGCGAGGTTCACAATTGAAAAGGCAGAAGTTGAAAGTTCGAAGTGATAGTAGGTAGAAATAATTTACCTACCTCCGGCTAAGGTGCTTTTCCATGTCCTTTTGACAAATACAAATTTTGGAGATAGTTTGCCAACACTGAGAAAACCGATCACAGATTTATAAAAGACATTTGAATTAAAAAAATCATGACTATATACTAGAAAACTCAGGTTAGAAAAAATACGTTCGCATATCAAACTTTAGAAGATTCTTTTCTCCCTATTTAGAAACAACCGTAGTGTACAAACCAAAATGGCCACTCCTTTCTACCTTCGCAATAACAAAAAAAAAAAAAAAAAAAAAATGACGGTTTAAATATTTTACAGGATGCCCTCTGCTTTGATATTGCCAAACCAGACAAATTTTAATTGAAAACGAGCGCGGTTTGATTGAATAGCGAGTTTCGATTAACCAATCGTGATAAAAGTATAGTTCACTTAAGGAGTTGATTTTGATCCAGGTACCTGCTTTATAAGTGGGGGAAATTGATTACGACGCCAGAAAGCAGAAAACCACAAACTGGCAAAAAGAACCGACTGTCTCAGCTTGTAAAATCCGCTGCTGCGGAGAAAAGAAATAGACCACCCTGGCAAGAGAGCTGTAAGCTAGGAAGAGAGGTTACTACTCTTATTAAAGAAAAAGAATCGTTTAAATTTGATATGCGAATATCCTTTCTAAACATCACATACGAGTGACTTATATAAAGTTACGAGTTTTTCTTATTCGAATGCTTTGTCAAAAAAGCATTTTCTCCTGAGGGTAGGTCAATCTTTTCTAACAGTCACTTCGCAGTTAAACATTCGACACTTGTGAATTGTGAACTTTTGACTAAATTTTAGCTCCTAAGAAGTTTATTTCTATGAATTGTTGCTCGAATAAGAAAGTTGCTAAAATTCCTTTAAAGGAAATTATTTGCTTTACATGAACTGTTTTCTAAGAGAACACGGATTCGAATTTTCCAAGAACTGTTAACATGCCTTGGTAGTTTTGAGGCACACAAGGGAAATTTTTTGCAAGGCCTAGATTGTATTTTGTATAAGTATCACCATTCTATTCAATGTATGTTTCTTGACAAATTTTTTTGTAAGTTTTTTTTTTTTCGTGAGCGTCTGTAAAAAGGATAAGACATTGGAATACTATTTCTTCTTAACCTGAAACTGATCGAAATATAACTGAGCAAAATTGACAATGCTGCAAGAATTTAAAATTCAGCTTTATAAATTTTATGCCGCCGCAAACCACTTAGTAAAAGCGTGTTATAAGCGGCAAAACCAACGTGTCGCTTGGATTTCTAAAAGTGGAAAAAAAACTAACCTATGATGTGAACCATACTCATTGACGTAAGCATGACAACACATAGACGCTCAAAGATTTGCAATGAGTATCATCAGTTGTCAGAGGGTGGAGGAAAAAGGCCACGCAAGATTAAATTATCACGTTATCTCGCTGTATTCATTTTTGTTTTCTAGAGTTGGCCACTTTAAATAATAAACAATGAATAATAAATAAATAATAATAATAATGGTGATAGGAAATACTAATGGTCTGTTCAAAATATTTTAATTCTTACCTTAGAATTAATTTTTGTTTGACTCAGCAATTTAGCAGTGGAAGCGTGCCAAATTTTTATTGAGCCGTCTTCATCGTAACCGCCAGTGGCTATGACATTTGAACGCCAAGGACACCAGGTCAGGGCCTAATAAATATTTTTCAATTTCGAACTGAATTAGGCCAAAACAAAATTAGCATACAAATTTATAAAAACTAACATCTGAATAGTCGGAAGAGATTAGGTTTTAAAGCAATTTTTTCATTGAGGGTTGGTCAACATTGTGTGTTAAGTGAAGATGAGCCATAGGGCCTAAAAGTAAAAACCTTATTCCATGTGCGTGAAACTTAGCAAAATCATTTTTTCAAGTTTAAAAGTTAATTTTATAATTACTCGTATGGTTGTACTTCTGCAGAATAAGCTCTGTAATACGTATTAGGCACGGCAAAAACTAATTGATTTTGTTCCTCACTGGATCTCACACTTTTTATGCCAGTATTGTAATACTAAGCTTAATATTTTTCAGCAAATTCATTTTTTCTGTTCATTATAAATATTGATTTATAAATTTCCAATATTAATCCAATTTACAAGGTTTTAGAAATATTAAAAGATCATAAAAATGAGATACTTAAGATTTGCTTTTACTACACCTACAAAAATTAACAGTAACAGTTTTTTGGGTTTTTTCTTTTTTTTTTCCATCGTTTCAATTTTAAGAAATTCTTAAGGAGTTTACGTCAGGCTATAACACTTATGACAACATTTGTCACTTTACTTACCATATAAACTACTAAATTCCCATGCTTCCAAAATCCCAGAGATAACAAATCTTACGAACTAAGTAACGTCCCTCTTAATCTTTAAAATTTATAATTTGTAAAAGACAAACCTTTGTAATTCCGTGGGCTTCAATCTTGTTACATTTCGCTAGTTTCCGAATGTCCCAGATATTAACAACACCATCACTCCCACCACTTGCCAGATAATTATGAAGAGAAAACTTAAGACTGAACATAGATCGATGTCGACCAATGTATGTCACATGTTCAGTTGGTTGACGCTCATCGTGCAAACAGATATTTCCAGCAACAGAACCACTAAAATAATTAAGGAGATTTATTGACAGATTTCTTAAAATTCAAACTTATACTATTTGGAAATGTCAAAATTACGACTAATTCATAATTAAAGATGATACCGAACTCATAATTACATGAATAATTTCAACATAAAATAAAATTAGAAATTTACACTGTCAAACGCAAAGCTTTGTATTTTTTATCTCTACAAGTTAAAATTTTAAAGATTTTTTATAAAATTCATCAGTATTCCCGAGATAGAACCGTATTCATTTCATGGAGGGGGGGTAAAAATAATACAGTGAGGTGAAACAAGTATTTGGACAGTAAAAAAAAAAAAAAAAAAAAAAAAAAAAGGATTTAGAATAATATTGAAAGAAAAGCATTGTCTAAAGCTCACAATATATTCGTAGAACAATTATAAATGCAAATAAAAAGCAAAAATAAATTATTTGACATATTTTATATACAAATTATTAAAACAGGTAGTGAAAAAAGTATTTGGACATTTCCGAAATTATGTTTAAAATTAATGTTTTCATGCTCGAATGTGTTAGAATTTTATGGAATCGTCTAGAACGTGCATTACTTAAAGGTGTTAGCTATCTTGATGGTCAGTTCATCCCAAGACGTCGCACTAACAGTACTACAGGATGCTAAAGCAAAGAGCTGTCGAAAGATCGAATTATTTCTGCACATAAGAAAAAAAAAGCTATCGTAAGATTTCTAAAGACCTATGTTTACCTGTGAGCATTGTTGGGTACATAATTAAGAAATGGAAAGCCTTCGGTACTCATGAAAATATGCCAAGAACAGATGCACCGCGCAAAATATCACAAGTGTTCACGGAAAATAGTACGGCGAGTAAAAAAATGACCCTTTTGTGACTCGGAGAGAACTTCAAAAAGATCTCAGCAATGCAGGAACTCACGTATGCAAGAGGACCAGAAGTTAGTTCTGAACTTCACCGACAACAATTAAAATCTCGCTCTACTTGCAAAACCCTATTGCTAAAAAAAAAAAAAAAAAAAAGTCACTTAAAATCCAGACTTGAATTTGCCAAAACTAATTTACAAAAGCATGATGACTATTATAATAAGCAAATTTTATGGTCTGGTGAAAGCAAAATTGAACTTTATGGCCACAACGATGCTACCCATGTTTGGAGAAAGGATGGAACAGCCTTCAATCAAAAGAACATCATCCCCACTGTGAAGCACGAAGGCGATAGCATTATGGTTTGGGGATGCTTTGCATATAATAGTACGGGACAACTGAAAATTATTGAGGGCACAATGAATACAGCCAAATATATTCAGACTTTAGAAGATTGCATGCAGTCATCAGTTGAGAAATTAGAACTTGGACAGGAATGGGTTTTTCAACAGGACAATGATGCGAAACATACAGCCAAAACAACACGTGCATGGCTTCAAAACAATAACATCAACGTGTTGACATGGCTCAGCCAATCGCCGGACATGAATCCAATAGAGAATCTTTGGAGAACACTGAAGAATCAGATTCGTGAAAGGCGACCAAAGAACATCAGTGAATTGAAAGTTTTTGCAGAAGAAGAGTGGACGAAAATTCCCACCAAATCATGCCAGGCGCTTGTAGAGAGCTACAGGAACAGACAGAGCTGTGGTTGCAAATGATGGAGGACCAACTAAATATTAAACACATTTAAAGCATAATTTATATTCTGTCCAAATACTTTTTTCACTACCTGTTTTAATAATTTGTATATAAAATATATATACGTGTCAAATATTTTTGCTTATTTGCATTTATAATTATTTTAATATATTGCGAGCTTTAGACAATGCTTTTCTTTCAATATACGATTCTAAATCCATTTTTTTTTTTTTTACTGTCCAAATACTTGTTTCACCTCACTGTATGTATAACCATTTTATTGACTGCATTGTTTGATCAACTTTATTACAAAATTAAAATCTTATCAAGCTAAGATTATCCTGGGCGATACTGGAAGATATTACCATGAAAATCATTATGACAATGAATTTCACGTATTCAGAGTTTTGTCTACTTGCGTTCTATGCTAATAAATGTGGAGGGCTTACGCGACAAGGACAATGATTTTGAAGATTTGTATAGTAATACGTATTTTTTTCCTTTTATACAAAGATATTTATTTGAATTTCGAATAATTTGGAACAAGGGAAAGTTTTGCGTACAACATCAGCTTATTTTCAGATCAAACTTTCCTTTTCGGAATCTCCAGTTATGGTACTGCTTTTCATTGAAAAACAGTTTTATTTTGGTTCTATGCTTAAAATAAAAGCCATCAAGTTTTCTTTATTTAAAAATGAACCAACAGAAAACGTTTAGAAAATATTAATTTCGTAAATGTGAAGATTTTTTACATGCGCTACAATCGCCTTGATTATCAAATGCGGAGACGTTACCGAGAAGATTGGTAAAATAAGTTATTTTTCTCGTTAAATGGCACTTAACTATGTAAATGCCTAAAATCGGTAGTCAAAATGTCGCATTGAGTTTAAACCCTTCAAATCAAAGTTACATTTGTGCGAAACCTTAAAATTATAATTTTCCGGATATATGTAGTTATTAAGAATAAAGTTAGTGGTGTAGTCGTAGGAATTCTATTAAGAATAAAGTTAGAGTGGTTACGACTGTGTAGCGTAACGTTATCGGTGCAGAAAAGGGAATAGACAAGCCGATTCTCAGAGTTCCGACCCCGTCTGCAGAGTTCACTTCCGCACTAAGGCCCTTGATAAAGACTCGACTCCACGACTTCTCTCCTAGCTATGAGATAAATAGACGGAAGGGATGGGCACTATGTATAACCTTGGGCAGCAGCTTATATAAAAGAATGTTTACCCATTCAAAACCATGGAGAAGCCAACTGTCTCGTGCCATAGCAATTTGCAACATGCTCGCCTATGTCCTGAGGGAACATATCTAGTGGATAATTTTTAAATTCTATTAGTATTTCCAATATTTAATTGGGAGTATCAAAATCGTACGAAAATTGTATGAACATAGTGTTTCAGTTTATGACCATCTCTATGCGATGCGTTTACCGAAAACGATGGTTTCGCATCTGCTTACGTTTCTTTAAAACACAGAAGATAGTCATGTATTTCATTATGTAGCAAGATTTTTAACGCTCTTATTATTCCACAGTATTGTTACTTTGAATGCAAAGACAAATTTTGACGTAAAATTAAAGTGAAATATATTGCACCCTTTAATAGCATTAAAACGCTCTTTATCGGTTTCAAATAATACATTTCTTGTATAAAAATCTTTTGCAAATATTACGTTTGTAATATCTACTTTTATATAAAATAACACTTAAGTATTTGAAGGTACCAAAAGGCAACATATCCGGACAAAAAAATTAGCCGAAACAAAATGAGATAATAGAAGAGTATTACAGTAATGCATAGAAGTCAATTTTTTACCTGCAAAAGGCTTCGTCATTCCAAGCTAGTGCTGAAATGTGGCTCTTTTCACTGCTGCGAAAACTGATGAGCAGTTTTGTTCGCTCGGCGTCAAGTAACTGTAGGTTATAAGATTTTAGAAGATGAATATTGTTTTATCAAGTAGACATACGCGTAAGTTATCGATGCTGCTTCAACCTTGCACTCCCAGTATGCATAAATAGTCTGACAAATAGAATTTACCAAATTACAAGTTTACAAAAAAAAAAAAATTTCCAAGAACTTTCTGCTTGTAACCCATAGGCACTGCCAATAAAATAAGTTTTTAACCTTTCCTTAAAATTTACAACTTCATTAGATTAAAAAGCTTATACTGTATCAAAATATAGCATATTTTTGCTTATAGTTATTTCAACCAGAGTTCGCAGTTTAAATATCAGTCCTTTACTCAAGTTAAATAGTCTACATATGTTTTACATATCAAAATTCACTTTATCGTTATAAAGCGAAATTACAATTACAGAAGGTAATAATTGAATTATTTCGAGAATAGCGAAACGCCATTAATTTTTGGAGAACAGAAACAATGGAAGAATGTTAAAACTTAAATTTTAGCATGAATATGTTAATATCAAAATATTTTCATTAACTAAAACAAATGTGGCACAAGGCCAAAGGGGAATGTGGAAAGTCTGCTGGACACTTTCTATCATAGACCAGGCTAATCTGATTCACGACCCATTCACTACAATTTGTACATTCACCACAAAAACTCATCCCTCACTATTCAATAGTACATATACCACAAATTTACACGGAACCTAAAAAACATGGCATAAAATTTCACTATGTACAAATATTAACATGTTATCGGAGTTTTATCCTGAAGAAGTCAGCAGATTCCATTGATAATGGGCGAGTTCTCATGTGGTCAAGTAAATCAAAACGGAAACAGTTCACCTTCAGCAAAAAAGTTTTTTGTGATATCTTCAACGGTATTTTCAGTTTGCTTTTGTGGTTGAATAGCATCCGTGTAAACACGTTGCGAAACGACCCAATCAATTTTTTTTTTTTTTTTTTTAATTGGTTAAGACTGATTAAGTTCGTCAGGATTACCATGATGTTGTCCTGCATCGCTTATAGTTTTGTCACCTAACTTCAACTCCAGAAGAAAACATTTCGCAAGTATTTTTTTATTATGTGTATGACGTGACCAATCCAAATCGGCTAGCTGTCGATTGACAAACATGGCTTCGATAGTAGTTGAATGATCTTCCGGGCTTCGACAATGTGTTACCTTATCCCACCAATGTAACCTGAAGAATATTTGCAAATGGCGACGGTATGAGATTTAGGTTTCGCAGCCTTTGGATACGTCTCGTAGACTGTGACACTAGTGAGACGTGTAAATGTTTTGATAGAAGGAATATTATCGAATATAGGAGCCCGTGATTGAGATAGCTAGGTAAGTGATTGGAAAAATTGGTTTCCAATTTCCTATCTCCATTTTAGGTTTTGGGCCATATTTAGTATATTTTATAAAAATGTATAATCAGCGACTTTGGTCTTACTGGTGAGATTTCTCTACACGAGACGTTTCTTCCGCCCAGAAGCAAGTCGAATATTACGCTAAGTCCGTTAGATTCCACCACCACCCCCACATAAAAAGCCTATGAGGACGAGGTTAATATTTTTGTATCAATGATCTAACCTAGCTAGTCATAATTATGGATACAAACATCTTCCACCAAATAACATTTACGCATCTCTGTATTAAGCTTGATCCTAGCAAAACTGAGCATCTCACGTGGCATCCAGCTGTTCCTGAATGACGGAGAAATGACTGATGAGTATAGTAAATCTGAAAAGACATTAACGGGTTTTGAAAACTCCTGGAAAAAGCGGATGCTACAACAACCCTTCCACCAATACCTGAATAGTATACCCAAACAGCTGCAATACAGTTTGAAGCATATTTTTTGTACTTTGGATAATCAGCGGAATGTATATTTAATGCAATAAATTACGTGGCCAAAAATGGGAACGGCTGGTCTTCTCTAGTCCTATATTAATCTAGCTAGTCTCACTCACTGAAACATCCGTACAAATAGTTTTCCACTCATCATATTACATTTACTTAGTATTTGCACTACAGTCACCAAAATACCTCATTTGCTAACTTTAAAGTGTATAATGAACAATATTTATATTTTGGAGTGTGGAGAGGCGAATACTAATCCCCAATGATTTTTATACAATGACAAAAAAAAAAAATCTACAAACTAAAGGCAGAAATAGTATTTGATCCCTTCACAAAAACTACATGTGACACAAAAATCTCAGTTAACTAGGTGAAAAAAAGTAAACTAGGAAAAAAAAAAAAAAAAAGTTCAAAAATGTTCGTACACCCACCAGAGAATGGAAGACGTCTAATAGGGGAGGGAATAGGAGGAAAATAAACGCGGGTCTATGCGCTTGCACACCCTAGCTAAGTTAAACCGAAAAGAGGCCCAAAGGGTGTTCAGCAGAATGAGTACATTAATGGAATAAAAAATATGTTTAAGAAATGGTGGGATACAATAAAATAAATGTAGTGCAACGAAAAACTGCAATCTAAATATCTTGGAAAAGATGCTTACTATACAAGATTAAAAAGTATGGAAACAAGTTTGAAAAACTCAGGTAGTAGGATAGCTGGACTGGAGAAATAACAACGAAAATAAAGCGAGTATGACTTACAAGGACTTCCCCTCCATTTGTACCAACGGAAAGAAGTTTGCCGCTTTCGTTCCAAGAGAGAGAAGTGAGAAAAGCTCTTTCATATTCTGAAAAGTTGACCCTGATTCTCCTGCACGTGCCTTTTTCTGCACTCCAAATGTAAACTGTCTGTTTAAGGGAAACGGCCAAATAGTTGTTGCAATTCCAGTCCAGAATGTTTGTAACTAAAAAGAGACAAGTAAAAGCCAGTCTATTTTGTCAGTGATTGACGTATGATTCGTTTATGTCAACATCACATTAAACTAACAAAATCGCTAACTACTTCCTTTCAAGGAGGCAGTTAAAAAAATTGAAACATGGAGTATTTTAACTTTGTTAAAATCCACATTCTACTAGTCGAATTGGTCACTTTCTTTAGTCGATATAAAAACTCATCGAACATTGTAAATAACATTTATCACAAACTAAATATTCCTTATTTTGATAAGACAACGTGGGCAAAATGAAGAATTTTCTGGGACTGGATAAACCATCAAGCAAAAAAATAAACGCCTGTCACCACCAAAATAAAAAAAAATGGTACCAAAGAGTTTTTCACCTTAAAAGGTATTATGCCTAGTAGTGACCAGATCATATTTGTGATTAAACTTAAGTTTTATACTAGCTTAAGAAAAAAATATGGTGAAAAATATCCAATTTTAGCTTTTTCGTGAGATAACTGCTTTTTTTTTTTTTTTAAACATTGCCTAGTGTATTCGAGAGAGTCTGTTTCAATAGCTTATTACAAGAGTTGTGGGAAATAAACAAGTTCCCGAATTTCTCAAAAATTAAAATACTCCATATGTATAAGAAAGCGGTAGATAATTAATATTGATATCTTGCGTTACTAAATTAAAAGCAGTAAGGTCTAGTTATCAAGTAACAATTGAGATAACTGTAGAATTGATGCTGTAAGCTATTTTCTAATCGATTATGCTATACTTCATTCTTTATCGCCTGTGTTCTTTTCTTCTTGAGACCAAATGACGTTCAAAGTACAGTCAATTCAGTAGGATATCAGTACAAGAAAATTGACTTAAACAATGAGAAAGATTTTTGGATGTTAACTGCTTTTTCAGATATTTTATGAAAGAAAATGTATGCCGTTCATGTTTATTATGTATAAAAATACAGTTTTGGCACAAGGCCTACAAGGAGGAATAGCTAATCAGATCCACGACCCATTCATTCATTATAATTTGCACATTCATCACAAAAACTCGTCCGTCGTCATTCACTCCTACATATACCACACACACACACACACACACACACAGGGAACATACAAAACATGACAAATTTCTGAATATATAAAAATTTCTTTATGGTAAGCAATGCAGGGTGGGGGTGAATCCGAAAACAAACTAAATATAACCAAGATACAGTCGATATCATGTTCTTATAAATATTTTAAGTTACGCAAGTAAAAGTATAGAGTAAAAATAAAGATCGGACATAAAATTAGATTATATACTTACAAAGATCTTCTCGAAGGCCTGGCATGTCAAGGACCCTGGACGGACTGGTTACCAATCGTCGTTTCCGAGCTTTTGGTGTAGACGGAAAAAATACCTCATCTATATCAATCTGCCAGGGAGGAGTAGACAAAGAGCTACCTGTACGAATATGTAATCATAGGAGTAGTAAATTATATATATATATATATATATATATATATATATATATATATATATATATATATATAAAGTTTTTATATATACATGAAAGCATCATACTTGTTACATGAAGACTTACGTTATATACGTTCAAATTATCGATCTGTCTGCATTTCTGAGACGAGTTATTTACATTATTTATACTTACACTATTGTCTCAGTCTTATAACGTTTCGGCCGTTTTGCTCTGCGCCCTTCATCAGCTATGTGTCGATCTGGGTACCTTCAGGGAATTTCGAATTGAACCCTTTAAGCTACGGAGGGAAACTGTTCTCGTTCTACTGCCCATGTCCAGGTATATCTTGTCTATTTCTTTTATTATTGCTCAGTTATTTCACGCCCGTTTATACTGAATCATGCACCTGGCTCAAGGATTGAACTCGAAATTTCTATGTCACCAAATTCACGAACCAACGCTTCAATCCTTGGGCCGGACAATGTGTGGATTCAATGGAACCGGGGGGGGGGGCGATAAATAACGGAACAGTGCTAAAAATAAAAATGATACTAGATATCCCTGGACATGTACAGTGGAACGAGAACAATCTAAACTTGTGCATTAAATAAAAGGCTTCAGTTCCCAAAGGTTACCCGGATCAACAAGTATCTGATGAATGTCGGTAGGCAAAAACAACCGAAACGTTGTGATAAAGATGGGGACAACAGTCAGTGTAAATAATTTAAATAGTAATTATTGATCACTTACACGAAATAGCCATATATCCTACATGCAATTCACCTTCATTCTGACAAATCAAAAAACGACACTTATCTAATACGATGAGTATTATCACTAGATGAATCCAAAATACGAATTTAAGATTGTGTCGGTTCAGCATTAAAGATTATATATCGCCCGTTAGATTAAGAAGGACTCAAACACCCTTGGTCAGATACCATTGTCGCTTTTTTATGTTAAAATATCAAAAATTAATTTGCCAGTATCCACTTAAGAAATGGTGGGTTCGAGCTCGGTGCTAATGTCAAATACCTGGTACGCAATGATGTCGACTTATTGTTTTAGGGGCGTATTTACTAAGCGCGGTTGTTGCATATCAGACTTAAGATTAATTTTATTTTTAATACACTAATCACCAACATGAATTTGAGAGCCTGTTTAACGTGGTAGTTTAGAAGAATTTGTATTCATCTCTAAAACTTGTATCTATTGTACGAGACAAGATGTGCAATTTATGGCGGGAGATTTGTTTCAGACCAGAAATTAATATACTATTAAAGACAAGTCTGAAAACGTAAAACGTCTATTTTTAGAGGAAACAATGCCGAAATGTTCGGAAATAGAATTTGTTATAGCGTGTTATTGTAAATTGAATAAAACCAGCAATATTAATTATAGTTTAAAGAACAACGCAAATGAGAGACAATTTCGGCTACATAAAAAAAATGCTACTAAGCTTTAAAAAAAAAAAAAAAAAAACAACCCAGAAAATGGGATCTAAAGTTATTGATAAAAAGAAGTATTAATGCAAAATGGAGTTTTCCATTACATGGGTAGAATTTATATACTCAGTAACGACAACAGTGGATAATTATTTAAGCGATATTTTAATGAAAAAAAAAAAATCTAGGTGTTGAGATCACAAAGGGATAGAACAAAACAAAAAATGCAACTCGCAGTATAGCCACTTACTGTAAGATAGAAAAATTAGTGTCCGTAAAATTTTAAGGTCCTACTTTACCAATTAAGCCTACTTAAAGCTTGTATTACGTTCCAGAATTGCAAAACGCATGAACTTGGAACATGGAATAAGACAACCCATACACTAGTAAATAAGTCTAAAGTTCGGAAAATTATATATCGTTAAACTTAAAATGTATAACGAATTATTAATATTCAAGACAAAAGAAAAACTTATCTTAACTACTTACAAGATTTTGGGGGATTTCGATATGATAATGGCAATACATTCTCGCAATCATTATTTTTCAAAGCGGCGTTAAGATAAAGGCGATAATTTTCAGAATCGGTTTGCGTGAGACACGGCGTGCTCCGTACTCGCTTAACGTCATGGTTAGAGTTTCCCTTGTTTGTTGAAATGACTTTCAGATGAGCATAGTCTACATTAAGTTTTGGACGGAAGGGAATATAACGATCAAACGAGAAGGCTTGAAACGAACGCGGCTTCAAAGTTGGACTAAATATGTCGAAAGATTCACAAATCGTTCGGTTAGACATTGTGAGGTGTCTTTCGAGAATATCATTTATCAGTTCTAAACTAATTTAAGGAAATTCACTTTCTATACTTATTTTCAGTGAACCTCTTCAAAATTGCATCAACCAAACTGTCATATTAAAAGTTAGTGACACAATGGATCTAATTTCTACCAAACACTAGTTTAAAAATCTGCATAAGAAGAAAGTAAATTAGAATAAAGCGTAATCTCGAAGTATTTACAAAATTACGGGTTTATTGTAAAAATATCGTCATTTTACGATGACACATAGCATTCAAGATTATATTTTTAATTTTAGTTAGAATCTAATGTGTTAAAATATTTTCTTTTAAATGTTCATTACTTACTTTGGTAAATGATTTAAATAGCAACCTTCATATTTTTTTTTAATATTTTTAAGTTATTTCCCCTCACATTCATTTTTAGTAACTACAATTATTCGTATTATCTGAAAAGTTCTGAAATTTCATCTGTATTATCTATCAATGAACAAGTTTAGCTTTAGGGAAAGGTATCCTGACTATCAAAGCTTCCCCAAATTGGGCGCATATACGATAGACTTCAGTTTTATTGAATAAATTCACTCGTTTAAATATTTCTAATAAAATATATTTTGACAAGTTTAAACATCCAGAATATTTAGTTTTATAAACCTTATTGAAATTGCATAGTAGATATCCATACTTTATAAGAATGAAGTCTCGGTCGGAAATATTTCAGGATTTTGCATATATGCTGTATTAAATATGTTAGTCAAATATTCACTAAATAATACATCCTGAGCCAAGTCTTCTTAAGTTCTTAGGTTTTGATCATTTCAGCTGTAAGTCTGCAACTACTGCAAACCACTGGAAATAAAATTGACTTCTTTTGTTTGTATTACATGTAGCAGTCGACTAAATCGAACTTGATAATGTTAAACGAAACTTAACAAAAAGCGTTTTCCTAGAACTGATCTCAAAACTTTCATTGCTAAAGTTGTTTTTATTTTCAATAATCGAGAAATAAAAAAAGTTTTTTTATTTCAATATTTTTTAGATTTTAATTATTTATGGTTATTTATTAAAAATTCTAGAAATTACTTACTATCAATATCTTTAAAGAGTAACTTCAAAATTTCGAAAATTATGAAAAGATAAATTTATTCTGGATATTTATTTTCGCTTATCCATGAGCAAAACGTTTTTATTTTTTTTAAATGGTTTCCTAGCCTGCGTAGTTTTCTACAAAGATGGTTCTGAGAATTTTTTTCACGCACTCAATATTATTTGATCAATTAATTTTATTTTCATAACGTTAAAAGAAAGAGAATAAGAAACCAGAAGATGCAGCTTATCAGCGCCCACCCGTCACAACCAAAACCAGCAAAATAGCGGAATTGTCTATCAGTTGTGCGCATATTTTTTTTAAGTTCAGTTGATAGAAAATTGACTACATTAACAAAAAAGAAAATAACTTACAATTACAAAGACAACATTATCATTTAAATGGTTTGATAAAATCGCTTTTCTCTCTATGTCTGTCACCATAAATATTTGCGCTACGCCCTTTCAGGGTGCGGACAATCATAGATCTCCACAGTCTTTTGTCCTGTTGCTCTTAGCAACGCTTTCGCCTTTGTGACCACGCTTTCTCTTTGTGTTTCTTATTCCTCCATCCATTGCACAAATATATCGATTAGGTTACTTGTTTTCCACAATTTCTTGCCCTTCATTTGTAATGTGAGTTTTAAATTTTCGATCTGCATTCCTCATTTTGTGTTCCAAACATTTTAGTTGCCTCTTTCTGATTGTTATCGATTTTTTTTTTGGTAATTTCTATTCTCATCCACATTAGAACTTCCTCATTAGTCAATATCTTGCAGTAATGCAATCTTTGTTTCGTTTCTAATCTATTTTTCAATCCCTTTCTACTTTATTCATTTCGTGGAAAAGGGGTTCGTTATTCTCATACGCCTTCAAATTTCTATGTCATCGTCTTTAATCACAACGTGCAGATAAATGAATTGCTGAACTTGTCTAATTTTCAAATCGCCGACGTACAATTTAAATTTTGGTCAGTTCCTTCTTCTCGTTACTGAACTACATTGTTGTATAATTCTTTTAGTTTCCTACTGACTGAATCTGCCATCGGTGTCATCTGCATAGTTCATATTAAGGATACATCCGCTGATAATAAATCCTAGTCGTGCTTCTAACTGTGAAAATCATCTCGCTGTCTAGTGAGAAGACACGTCCTTGACACGAGCCTCTATTTTGTTGTACTCATTTGATTTATTGAAGTAGACTAATCGTTTATCCGTAATACAAATTATTCGTATATCATTTCCATGCATATCAAACTTTTCAAACAAGAATTTTGTTTTCGTCATCAATCGTCAATCTCGTTTCTACCAATCAATGCCACAACAAAGTTCAACGAACTCTCTCACATCGTGTATGCAAATTCTGTGTGTGTGTGTGTGTGTGTGTGTGTGTGTGTGTGTGTGTGTGTGTGTGTAAATCCTCTAATTCAAGCATCTTTTCACACAAAACTTGCATTTATCAACCAGTCTTCACTATTTGAGCTAACTTAATTTATTTGTTTGAACCAAATATATAAAATTATCGTTCTTTTTATTCTGTTTATCCA